ATCGAATCAGCCGTATGGCCGGGCGGTCTGCAGCAGCTTTCCTTTGGGTACAACTTCAACCAACCCATAGAATCAGCCGTGTGGCCCGCCAGCCTGCAGCAGCTATCGTTGGGGTGTTGCTTCGATCAGCCAGTGAACTGCGTGGCGTGGCCCGCGTCGTTGCAGGAGCTCTGCCTCCGGCGCAGACAGGACAGAGGGCGTGCATGCTCCGGCGTGGATAGCGTGCATGACGGCGGGGGCGCTTGAGGCAATCACGCAATTAAATTCGCGCAACATCACACGAGATTGAGTATTGACTCTCAACATTTTTTGCTCCTGTTTTGCAGAGTTTGTCTTTCAGGCATTTGGTCGGCGCTTTTGGGCCAACTATCAACGACGCAAGCTTGAAGGTGTGTCCATCCTGACCACTACCAACTGAATTTTCGATTCCGACCGCTTCAAGAGGGGGGCTGTCACCCGTCTATGTAAATCGTGATAGAGGTAATCGACATGGAACCTTGGAAAGCTTTTGTGGAATCGCCAATGGGCCCGGTTCCCTGGCAAGGAGGTAGCGTTCGCAGGCACCGGAGGAAGAGGACATGCTTTAATCGAGGGGTCGTGGTTTGGTTGGTCGTGTCCTTCAGTGCAAGCAAGACGTTGTCGTGCCTGCTCAATCATAAAATTCTGCCTCGGTGATGTTCTTTTCGATGATCGGATGCTGTTTCGTACCCGCAAGTGGAGGTGTTGGTGAGAATGTTATATGCACGTCTTCTGGCGTAGTAGACGGAGGGAGTTTGTTTTTTCTTCTGCTTCTGACTCTCACGGAGAATTCTAGCACCAGAATGTTGATTGCGAATGAATTTTGTGGATATCGGTATGGCTCGTGTCTTGGCGCACCTGGCGTGCTGGTAAAGCCTTGAATTTTGTAGAATGAGCCCGTTTTGGGGGAACAATATGCACTGTATTCTATTAAGTTGCCCAGTCTACATGTGATTGCAGGGGTGTCTCGCCTAAATTACACCTGAATCTTTTGTACGATGTGCCCATCACACAGACTACCTGCATGGCCGTGTGATGGCAGAAGCCACCTAACTCCATCATTGTCTGTGTCGTCCCTCTGTCTTAGGCCTCCGTAAAGGCGCAGAAATATGTATATGGCAGGTGTGGGATTTCCACGCCCGAGGTCTGGTGCCCCAAACTTTCGGGGGAATCTGTTCCCAAGTGCAGGCAAGTTCAGATAACTGCCAACCGAGACACCAGCACCACGGCCACCACCAGGTGCAGCCGGCCCAGCCGGTCCAGCCGGTCCCTGGGCCCCCCTCAGCAAACTACGCCCCACGCCCAGTCCCAACAACCCTCCGTACCTCCGTGATAACCGTGCCACGGATTGCACTGCGGGTAGGCGTGGTGAGCGTGGTGCACGCACTGATGCTGTTGCTGCGGGTACGCCTGCTGCTGCTGCTGCTGTTACTGCTGCTGATAGTACTGTTGCGGGTACGCCTGCTGGTGCGGGTAGTACTAAGTAAGGGTGGAACTCCTGCCCAGACGCTGCGGGCACCGATCTACGCGGCCTAGACGACGCACGCTTCGTCGTCTTCATCTTGTACCAACCTTCTTGATCTTGTTATTAGTTGTCGGCATCTGTTGCGTTTGGCAAGCATTTTTAATTATTTCGCTCAATAAGTAGGGGTGGATGCGTGCAAGCCTCGTGCCCACGAAGGTTCGACAATAGCGGGGAGCAATGGGTCTCGAGGGGTTGCTCTCGTTCGATATCTCTTGTGTTGGCCACGTGGGCGCGGAAACATTTCTCTCAATAATATGTAGGGGTGGATGCGTGCAAGCCTCTCGTGCCCGCGAAGTTATGACAAGAAGAGGGGGAGCAATCGGCCTGAAGGGAATTGCTCTCGCCTTACATATATCTTCTTGTGTTGGCCACTTGAGCGCGGGGAAGTTCCGCTCAATTAGTAGGGGTGGATGCGTTCAAGTCTCGTGCCCCCGAAGTTATGACAAGAAGAGGGGCAATTGATTTCGCCTTAGGGTCGTTCTTATCGACCAATAAATGACAGATCTCTTTTGCGTTGGTCACGTGCGTTGGTCACGTGAGCGCGGGAAATGCTCTCATCATGTCATCGCGTCCAAACTCCGCTAAATATGTAGGGGTGGATACGTTCAAGCCTCGTGGCCGCGAAGATTTGACCAAAAGGGGGAGCAATCTCGGTACTTCAATTACCTCGATCGGTTGCGCAAGTTCCACGGAGGGCACGGAAGATTGTTGAGACTGGTCTGGTTCTTAGTTCGTTTGTTGAAGGGAGATAGAGGGAGAGCACTGGTCCGTGGGGACCGGCTGAACTATCTGGTGGGGGCGGGTTGGTGATAATTGGACTAGTGGAGGAATAGGGCCTAGAAAGCTACGTACCAGGGAACGGTAGTAGCAAGTGGTTGGTCATTTTGGTGAGAGAATATAGGTCCGGAATCAAAGTATCCCGGACTCTTCTCTGTGGAAGAAGAGATGAAATTGTTGAGTTCTACAACAGTAGTTGGATTTTTTTTTTTTGTGGACGGGAAGACGGCGAACCAGAGAAACGCATGGTCGCACCATTTTGGTGTATCCTACTGCGCGCGGAGGGTGATGGAAGTCGGCGAGGGTCCATGATGCGCGATACCCTGCAAAAGGCATTCATTCTCAAGATATCGCTCGACGTGCGCCGTATAGGTCGAGATCGGTGTGTTGTTTGCTGCCAAGCGGGCCCTGAGATTCGATTTTTCCGAATGAATTTGTTTGGACGACCAAAAGAAGAGCGATGAAAACAGGCAAACGAGAGAAAAACAGCGCGCATGGTCGCGCACATGGCCGCCCACTTGTGGCGTACGCTACAGGGAGCGAAACCCGATTGAACGTGGCGAGGGGCCATGATTTCTGATGCCCTACCGAGGCATAGTCGAGATGTCGCGAGACATGCGCCATACATCGGTCGAGATCGGCTTTTTTTGAGACACGGTCGGGCAAAAGGGTGGGGGAATCGAATAAGAGGATCTGCGACAAAAATGAAATTAGGTCGGAGAGACTGAAGCTTACAGCTTCAGAACTTACAGCTTCAGATTAGTCTCTGTTGGTTTCCTCACGGAAATAGAGTAAGCGAGGGGTGCCCAAAACAAGAGAGAAGAGGGTCTCAAGTCTAAGAACTAGTCTGTAGCGAGTCCTGTGCGTAATCCGTTTTGTGTCGGAAGAATGAATCCTGACACGGACAGACACGGAGGGGAGTTATTGTGGTCTTTGAGCCCATCACGCACGAACACACCCGCTCTGTTGGCCTGTGGTTCTTCGGCCGGCCCAAACGACGACGCTTGGGGTAATGTTACTGGTTTGAGAAATGTTTCCCACGGCTGGTCCTTTTACCCTCACGCCGTAAACAAACGCCAAAACCGTGGCATTCAAACACAGAGAAACGGGGAAAACATGATGTGCAATTGCCATTCTCCCAAAACCACATCACAGCAGCTCCGTCGCGTAGCAATAAAATACAGATTTACTTAGATGTTCAAAATATCTGGTTAGCAGCTACCGAACTCTTTTGTATGCCAGCTAGTGCCCACCATTCATGTACCACAATGAACTACACCCCCCATCCCGTGCCCCCTATCTAGTAAAAACACCACCAACCC